CTACTGGCCCCTATTACCGGATTACCTTGCGCAAGCGGAATCCCAAGCAGAACAATGAATTGCAAGACATCAGTTTTAATTACGTGCCCGATAGAGGTGAGTTCTGTTTATATAATCGTTTGTTTCTATCTTTCACGAGCTGCCTTGGCTATACGCCTTATTAAGTATGTTTTTTAATTGCTTCGTATTTGCGCAGATTCGGCTGATGTTCTCGCTCGTGAGCTGGTTGAGGCAGATCTTCTTGATGGCTGTGACCTGCTTTTAGGTAATCCAATTGTTAGCACTTTTCTGCCCATGATCATTAATTTCATGCATCCGTTTCCTTTATTTGTTTTCACCTCTTGATAACTCTATCATCCCTTTTCATCGTTGTATCGCTTATCCCTTGTGGAGAGCTGCATTTACTTCCGGATCTCCAACCTTTCTATTTATTCCTCTGTTAATTCATCTTCTAAACTTATTCTTCATGCTTGCGACGTGTAAAATAAGGAATTTTTATTTGTTTTTATGAGTTTTTTTTTATTATTTTCCCTTTTAGTTGCTCACAATATGAGTGAGCTGATCGCAAATCCCTCCGCCAAGGAGCGTGTCTTTCCTCTTGTAAGTTCACTTATTTGCACTGGTTCCTAGACTACGTAGCCATATTTTTAGACTCCTTCTTCCTGCTTCACTGGGCATCTGCAATCATAGCGGATACGTAATGCAAGCTATTATTGTTCACATGCCACAGGCTTTAATTGCTTTACCTACTTTCTTCATTGCTTGATTTCGCTGATCCTGCATTTTATGCAAGGAATCTTCTGGGCCCCATGCAGTTACTTGCACTTGCGTGCTAAAAATTCAGAATTTTTTTCTGTGATACTCCCTTTCGCATGCAATCGTGCATAGCTCCATTACTTTGTCAGATACCTTCACTTCTAGCTTCATTTGGGCGGACACTAAATACATACATTTTGTATAGCAAGCTTCGATTTTCCTTATTTTGATTTATCAGGAAGCATCAAAGTACACCTTAATTTCTGTGACGGACCTGATGTGCCAGTTTATCTATTATTTTTCCTCAAAATATTTATATACCACTAAGTTGTTTCTCTTCCATCACATTATTCATCCTTTGCATTTGTTTATAACCAC